AGTTCAAGTTCAAGTTCATTTTAACATCTTTAGCTTAAAAAGAATTGGGCAGTTAAGTGTCTGGGTAATTATGTGGTTTCACGTGATGTAGAAAAGATTTCAAAACCTTGTTCAATACAGTGAGTTTGACACTGTGAACTAATGTCCTGTGAATACAATTATAAAAATGTTCAAATGTTATTAATTAAGCCACATTCACTCATTAAATAAAAAAAACATATGAATTGAGGTATCCATCATATATACAATGTACAGTATATGATCAAACGCAGTCTTAAACATAACTGTACTGTATTATGATGGGGGGATAACAAGCTTAAAACCCTCATCTGGTCCAAAGTCTACTAGGCGACATCCATACCGCAAAATGGAGACATTTCAGATACATTTGGGTTTCACTGTTTTGAATAGGAAAAATTTGGCTTATATTTGAGAACATTCCAATGAGCACACAATGTGCCCAGGAGAACTTTAAACAAAGCCCATAAAAGCCAAAAACATCATGTGATTTGTAAACCAAGGTGAACAACTAGTGTCACAGCTTTTAATCAGTTATAAGATACAACAAAAAAACTTCCCACAAAACTGCACTTATACATAACAACATCAGTTTAATATTTCAGTAAAAAATACAATAACAAAATAACAGTTTACTCAGTAAAAATGTACTTTCCTTCAAAACTGCAGTATCTATATTTGTCTACATAACACAGAACATGCCTACAAAGTAAATAAACTCAACTCTTTGGTTAGATTAGGTCGCAAGGTGCATATTGTATATTTGTATGCACTTTTACTTTTTATTTTAAGCGTACATATTATAAACTGCCTGTCTATTGATTAAAGGGGGACGTAGTATGATTTCACGTTTTCTGTTATTTTACAGTATTGACATATTTATTTTCAAACTGAATGTGATCTTATATATTTTAAACTATTATATATTTCTCCCAGAAAAGTGAGCTACAATGCAGCAGAAAATGTTACAAAACAATAGAATTTCTAACCCTTTTCTAACTTTCTCTGTGTTTTTCTTTTAAAATACATAAGTGGATATAATGATATCTTAAAAGCCTATTTGAATAACCTCCACTATGCTTTGTTTTAGTTAAGTGAAATGTTACAGTATGTGCAAGCTCTAAGCTGTTTCTTAAAAGTATGTGTGAATCTGTACTGTACGAGTCTTTCTCAACTCTTGGTTTAACTTTTGTTTTAAAGTTGACAGATTCTGCAGAATGTCTTCCCCTTTTAAAGACAATTAAGACATCCAAATGAATTTCCAAAATATATCTATCAATCATAGTTGCTTTTAAGGGAAATACTTCAGCATTCAGGCACATTTTAAAAGCCAGTCTGTTGGTTGTCAGTACTTCAATTTTATGCAGCCTTGTGTCTATTAGAATGTCATTTTACATTTCCAGCTATACTAACAAAAAGCTAGTAAGAAAGGATTTTTTATTCAATCATGGAGTCTTCTAAATTGTTTTTCGCAACTTAAAGATTTTCTTAGTTGTTTATTCGTTGCAAACATTTCATTGTTTGAGTTGTTCTTGCAGACAAAAATATGTACTAGAAATGAGCAAACATCATGAATGTCTTGTTTTATGTCATTGAAACTAGACATTGGAACCATTCATTACTGCACATTCATTTTGTACTTGTTTATTACAGTTAGAGGATGTGCTTATTGGAAACAGGCTAACAGGAAGATATGGGAAAGTTAAAGAGTAACTCCACTTTTCCCTATAACCATCGATAAGAAAATGTAAAAATAATGAGCTAGTTACACAGTAAGGCTATACACATACTGTAGATATAAAAACATGGCGCTATTGAAAATATCATCTGTTGTGCATTTCCTAACAAATTAACAATGAACTTTAAATTAGCCTTGTCAAATTCAGTTAGGTCAGTAAGTTAAGGATTAGTGCTAATCAAGCTTTGTGAAACCAGTCCTTGAGTCCTTGAGTGTTTTTTCTCTTTTGATGGAATAAATAGTTATAGTAGGAAATAATAATTTACACTAGGGAGAAAGAAACAAAGATGCTTATAATGAATAGATTTTGGTTGACTTCTTTTATAAACTTGAATAAATATCTTCAGCAGAATTTAATTATCTTTCCTGAAAGTGTTGTCTGCTAAAATAGTGGTTCCATTTTATTGATTTTTGTTAACCATGGAGTGGCTGTAATCATATTTTTTGTATATTAATATTTGATTTTTAAATAAATTAACATCACCCATATGTACTTTCTGGTTGTCATAAAAGACTAAACTTTAGTGTTGAGCTCAGCCTCAAACAATAAAATAAAAAAACATTACATTGACTCATTCCATATGCCTATTTGAATTATTATTCCAATAACAATACACTTTTAGTGTTTATCTGTAAATATAGATGCTAAACGTTAACATACGGTCGTGTTTAACACATTAGAATGAGCTTATTTACAAGATGCCTTAACTGATGTCGTTTTAAGAGAAGTTTGGAAGAGTCTCTGCTGGGAATGTATACAGATCACTAAAAGTGTAAATATTTTCTCAAAGAAAGTGTGGAATGCCAAGACATTGTGCTTTTGAATACACTCATTTAGAGAAAAATATGCTTACAGTAAAACTTTGATCAAAGAAAGTCTTGAGAACTTTCAGGGCATTACAAAACAACTTTCATTGTCTTAATCAGAACAACAGGTTTGCGAGTAAATATAATTGTTCCAATAGAAAAATAAATGTTCAAATTTACAATCATGGTTATAACTTGCTCTAAATCAAATATAATGCCAACAATAATAATAAACAAGTGATAGTATCATCCTAACAAAGTATGAACTACAGTATATATCTTAAGGCATACTTTTTAATGGCGACATGTGGCTGCAGATTTACGTTCAAAATACAAGATTCAAAACAACATGAAAGTATGACTTGGCCAGTTTATGGATTTATTTTCCAGGTTCAGCTTTGTATCGACTCAATTGCATTCACCACACGATGTATGCAATTTGTCACTGGAGGTCATTGAATGAAAGCACTAGGAAGTGGGAAGGAAAAGGACGTTTTCTGGATACAGCACAGATAGACACAGCCCGCCAGGTTTTCTCACAGGGGATGATAATGAACTTTAAGAGGAAATTTCATTACAGCTCAGGATCAGCTTTAATGAACATGACATTTGTTTCCCTATACATACAAGTGTATACATTCCTCCATTTTCAATAGCTGCTTAGTCCAATATAGGTTCACAGTCACAGGCGTACATGCAGTTTAAAATATATTGGTTTGTCCAACCTTGGTACTTGAGTGAAACAATCCAGCAGGTTTTGTACAGTAGATCCCCCTTAAATATGCCATTTCTAAACCCAACCTTCCTTTGATCACTTAAGCAAGTTATTAGTTCAATTCAGTAGTTAAACTAATTTGAAATAAAAGCAAGAATCAATAACCATTAAGGAAAACTGTTGGCCTTTCCTGACTTTATTGAACTAATTAGTTACTAAATTAATGAAAACACACAGGTGTTCCAGGTTTGTACAAATGGATGATGCTGTATAAGGGTGACCTGACAAATCTGCTGGATTTCAGCTCTGCAGGACCAAGATTGGCCACACCTGTTACATATGTTACAGGTTCTTTTAAGGTTTTTTTAGTGACATGATCCCATAGGAACCTGGACAGCATCAAATTCTTCCCTGATGGGAAATCTCAAGTCTTTGGCATACAAGAATTCACCGCTGTCAGGAGTTGTGCTGTGTGGCTCTGAGGGCAGCGAATTCTCGTAAAACAGATGATCAAATCTGTACAGAGGCAGAAATGCACACTGTACATATCTAAGGTATAAGGTGTAAAACACTTTCAGCTTTTAGAACAATCTTGTCAAGAACAACCCCTGATCACTACAAGACAGCACACAAATCAGGGCCAGAGGGCATACTGTACTTGCAGATACAGTTTATTAAGGACAAGTGTAGGAGAAGGCCTGTTTTGTCCAGATAGAGGTGGTTGTATGGAGCAAATTATTAGACAATGATATACTGATTTTCTAGCATCATTATAAACATAATGTGAGGCCATCCTTGAAAGAATTATTTTGTTACTAGTCTGTCTTATTCAGAAATGTTCATATTAAGTGCTGTCATAAACTCTGCTTATATTATATTTTTGGCATAGGGTTGCAAAAGGTTTAATGACTTACAAATATTGGTTTCAAGATTATGCACCAAATTTAATTTTAGGCTTATTTGCTGGAAATGTTTATTTTAAATAATCCTATGTGTAAATTACAGGGTGGCAACATTGATGCCTTGCAAAGCTGAGGCCTATCTGTGTGGAGTTTGCATGTTTTTGTTGTGTTCACATACAGTAGGATACCTCTGAGTGTACTGGCTTGCTCCCACAGTTCAAAGATATAGTGGTAGGCTCATTGGCTTTTGGGAAAATTAATCCTGATATGAGTGTGTGTGTGTGTGTGTGTGTGTGTGTTTGTGCCAGTGTGTGACCTCTGATGGACTGCTGTCCCATCAGGGTGTGTCCTGTTTTGCAACTGTGGCCTGCTAGAATAGATTTTGGCATCCCCTGTGTAAAGCAGTTAGTAAGTGGATAGATGTGTGAACTATACATTACAGTGTAAACCATAGGTATAAAACAAAGGTTATTGTGATTAATAATATATTTTTTCTAAGGCACATTTATCTACAATGTGTGCAGCAGCAATGGTGAAAGATGCAATGCATTCTCACTTGTCATTGTGTCACTTGAGGACGAAGTCCAAAAGCTTTCTGCTTGCCTAGCTGAGCCACCTTGCCTAAGCATGAGTGAAATTGCGGGGTCTGGATTAAAGCATGAAACAAAATAATCAGAACAAGCTCTGCAGTTCCTTTCGACCTAACTATTAATAAGAAATTAATTTTGGAATCCCGCTCCTCTCCCCTGCCGTATCCCACTTAACGTTTTGAGCTCCTGCCAAGTGGGCTCCACATGGCAGCTGCCGCGCATGCGTCTAGGTCTGTGGCTGAAGTTGGTTACTCGCGCCAGGGCTTTAATAATGAAGTGAGGGGTGTTAATACTGTATTTTGTAAAGCCTCTAACTTTTAAGAAGGGGACGAAGTCGTTCAAAAATACGTAATAGCAGTTGTTTTGCTCCCTTTTTTTCTCCACGCCATTATTTTTGTTGTTGTTTTTGTTCGGTATCTGTTGAGGTTAAGTAGCGGAGAACATCTGTTGTGAACTGACAGCGTAAGGAAAAATACAGCTGCTATAATTTAAGATCGCAAACCAATATGCATGTGTGTACATTTTTGATGGAGTAAATATATGAAGATAAGCAGAAACTAAGACGTTTCTCTGAAGATCTAAAGCATCCTTGGCAGGGTACGTATATCTCAACGTATTGCCGTTGCATTAAAATATTATTGCATGTGTTTGTTTTTGGCTGAGTTCTGAAAATGCCAAAAAAGATACAGCAGATGAAATGGGTGCAGTTCAGTTGAAGTGTAGATATCGGCTGGTGATAAAGCAAAATGATGACTGTGTGCGAGTCACTGTGAGTAGTTCATAATCGATTTAAAGGGAGAGCAAAGCTACTGTCTCAAACGCTGGAAACCTGCGTGTAGCCCGAGGGCTTACGAGCTCGCTTTATTCAGGTACTTCGGTCCGGAATCGGGTCATTTTTTGTGTTTTTTAAGCCGACTTTTAGTTGTTGGGGGAGGGGGTGATGTGGGTCAGGGTATCATCAACAGTTCCTCTTCTCCCACCATTATTATTATTTATAGGTGTATATTATAAATATAAATAACAGTATGTATTCAAAGCTTTTAAGTGTCGCTCATTGCAAGTAAAGTTAAATAGCTACGGGTAGTTATCTAAATTATGGACTTATTTAACATTTGCTTCTTAACGGTTTGTCTAACGTTGTTTACCGGCAACGGTATTGGGCAGTAATAATGGTCGTGGCCTCCGTGTTGATGTCTTGTCTGTATTTGAATTCGTTTAAATATATATTTTTTTTCAGCTTTCATAAGTAGTGCAGCGCACCGATAGCATAATTAGCTAATTTAATTCGCGTCTGTGCACTGGAAGTGTGGGAAGGCACCTAGTTTAAATTTGCTACATACACGAGATCAAAAGTCCATATTTGTTTGTTTTCAGCAGGTACTTTTATTTTTCTTTTAAAATACGGTATCTTGTTCTGAGACTAAATCAGATCCACGTGGAGTCTGTGTTTATATTTGAGATGTTGAAGGAAATAGGATTCTCTTCCTGACACTAGGATCCCTCCGTTGAAGCCCAATGGGCTCTTGGCTATTAGCCTGTCTTTCCTGGTGACTTTACAGACACTTAGAAAATCTGATACCTTAGAAAACATAACGGTTGGATTTCACATTAAGGACTCATGCTTAACGGTTAATTTCTTCACAACATAAGTTTTAAGGGAAGTCGGGCAGCATGATTGTGCGAAGATGCGAGACTCAGTGGATATGCTTTTGCTAGGGGAAAGTGGCAACTGTCGCAGAAGTTGTCTTTTAAATACATCTAGGTAAACATTGCGTAAAAATATATCATTGCTGTGGTCGTTAACTTTAAAGTTCTAGATATGTAGCTGTCATTGAATTAAGCGCTTAGTCCAGAGCGGCTTTGTCATCGTATATTATTTCCTTGGAGTAGCATGTAAAAGATGCTTGAATGATATTTGAATATAATATCCTTATCTTGAAAATGTTCCTTGCGTCTGAGGAATTTATGGCACATTATGTGTGTCCGATGCCTTATGAAGGTCAAAATCCTTCGTTGTGCTTTTAAATAGGAAATTTGATTATATTTTCCTGCTTTCCGTTTTTATGTTACAGTAGTGCTTTTACCTAACATTCTTGATTTTTAAAACTTAATTACTGATTTTCTTAATTTACAAAGCTTGGACACTGTTTTATTTTCGAAAACGGGACTGTGAAACCGTGTCATTTTAACTTTGCAACATTTGTGTAACCACAGTTACGCTGAGATTACTAGTTTAGAAAAATAATTTCCGTCTTGAGTTCTTAAATTTGTTTTGTCTTGAATTTTAAGTGTTAAATATTTGTAAAGTTTTTTAATTGTCTTTGTTTAAAAGTTTAAACACTACTCATAATAAATTATGAATTGTATATCATGTAAATTTTTATTAAAGTTATATGAAATCCTATGTTATAAAGCTAAACGACAGAATGTTAATAAGTCTTGTCTTAACGGTAAGTGCTTCATAATGAATAAATACATTGTACATTTGGAAGTGTTTGGTATTTTTTACATGTATATACTGTCGAATGACTTGTTTATTGAATATGAAAATATACATCATTTCATGTTATTCTAGATATAAAAATACAATGCGCAGTTGTTCAATAGAAAATTCTACAATTAAGATTTTACTGATAAAGAAATGTTGTTATTACATATCTGTTTCATCGGTGCAATCAATATACATGTATTAGCAAATAATTCACTAGGAACTTATATGAAAACAGAAGTGTTAAAATTTTTTTTTACGGCAAATGCACCGTAGTATTTAATAAAGTGCTGTTCTTAGTGTTTCAGGAATAGAATGTGTTTATTTTACATAGTTCTGACAGCTGTTCTCATTTCGTAGGACTGCTAGAGTACTTAAAACCTAAGTTTAGGATTTGCCATGATAGTAAATGCTTGAAATGTCTTCAAGGCAATAGTAATAAAATATTGGAGCGCGTTTACGATGAAGACTTATTTTGAAATCTAATTTAATATGGTTAACATAATCGAAAGTGGAAAAAACAATATAGTTTAATGTTTATTTTCGGTTTTTTTTTCCTGGCTACTTTTATTCAAATGTATTCAAATACTGTACGTATACTTTTGACAGCAGTGGGGTGTCTGCTTAGTGTTAAAAAAGACATTCGGGTTTTAACCTGACGTATGACACTATATCTATTTTTATATATGGTTGCTACCGGAGTTAGTGCCAATAGGAAATTTATCTTAGAGTAACCACTCTTTACTTCCACTAGCGGTTACTGAAAGGAAGGCGATAAAATTATTATTATGGATTATTGTTGACCTCAGTCTAGGATGTGTTATATTATTAAAAAAACAAACAAAAAAGTTATGTGAGATAACCATGAGCAATTCAGGGTTTCCGTCATGGATCATAAATTGGAAATACGTATTGTGAAGTCTGGACAGAAGTGAAGAGTAAACGTCAATATCCAGGTGTCACTGAAAATTCTGAAAATCACAAACTCTTTTTATTATTATTACGAGATAATACAGTGAATGTTCTGTCCTTTGGATAGGTTACAGACAACTCAAGAGAAAATCAATTAATCATGTCTGACTTTGAGGGTGTAGCATTTCCTTGTCTTCAGTTTCAGATAAAAATGAGCTGAAAACCTTATGAAATAAAAATAGATCTTCCCTAGGATACAGTTTGAAGACGAGTAGTTTTTAAGGCATACTGATTAAAAGAAATAGAAAGCTGTATACACTGTGTCATTAATGCCTTTCATTATGGAAACATATTTGGCACAATCTTGTTTATTTTTAAAAATACTATGAATGACATGACATTGGTATGTAACTTGGTCTTGTTCATCATATATACATATATGATATTACATAAGGCTCAAATCTTAATACTTAAATTAAAGATTTAATATTATCTTTTCTAAACAGCAAAATGTTAACCTGTCACTGTACTGTACATCAACATGAGCAGGATCACACCTGTTATGAAACTGTGGCTGAAAATGAGTCTGGCTCTTTCTGTGTTGCCCAGAGTTCATAGGCAACCTATGTACAAAGGAAAGGCGCGTTAGAATCTGGGGCTATTTTTTTTGTTCAAATGGCCAAGATCTATTGGCACGGGGATTCATTTCATATTTCATCCAAAGCCGGCACAGTTGAGAATAATTTGTGAAGCAGTGTGGAGAAACCTGTATGGTTTTAGTCAATGCTGTAGTTAAAATGAGAGAAGCAGATAACTTCAGTTTAGTGAAGTCTCTTGACTTTAAATATATTTCTTATCTACAGTGGCCATAATAGGAATAACCAATAGTTCTTTTGTGAGTGATCATTCATATTTTGCTTTTTAAAAGGGAATTTTGAATGTCCATTTCCAGTTTTACTTTTCAGTTAATCTCTATCTGTTCCCCACTCATCAGTGAGAAAAACTAGTCGTACACGAGTTTCCCTCTTTGCCATCATCTTTGATTGTCTGTCTTTCCAATGCAATGAAGAACTTCAGTTTGAACCTTCTTTTAAGCTTCTGTTTTTATGATACACCAAATTGTTGTTCGAAATAAAAGTCAAGGCTTTGTTTCTGCTTACTGACAAATGCCAAGGCCTCTCGGTGATGCTGTTACTTTTGCCGTTGGGTGAAAACTCACAGCTAAAACACACATTAATTTCTCATCACATTTTCTAAAGTGTACCAGTAAGAGCCTAATATCATTTGTATTTTTTTATTCGTGGATTTCTCTTCCCATGTGTTCAGTCATTTCTGCATTTCTAACTTTCCATCTGACAAACAATATATTGTACGTCCGTGTAAGGTTTTTTTTTTGCATGATGTTTAAACAAAGTGGCTCCATTTGTTGCTAATCCAAATGCAAACACAAATTTGTGGAACTCTCAAATGAACACGGCTGAGTTTTAGCTTTCTCTACATTACATGCAGAAAGTAGAGTAATATGTTTTATAGGAGCAGGCATGATCTGTTGAAAGACCATCGTACAGTGTTTGCCCTTGCAAGACTGCAATAAGACATAACTGTAATAAACATTTCACAACTATAACACCAGTATTGCACTTCCTCATAGAAAGCTGTTTTAATTCAATATTTCACATCATTCTGAAGGCATGTACTGTACCTGACCTTAGAAAAAGACTGTGCTCAGGTAACTGAATGTGTTTTATTTACTTGTAAACTTTAAATGACATAATAGTCATAAGCCATACTGAAAGTACTGTAGTCAGTTTTCTCATAAAAGCTGGTAAGTTACTTTTTTAAACACCCCTATTAAACTGTTGTGAACTTCCTGTACATAATGTAACTTATATTGTGATCAGTTTCTTTAAAGATAGAATGAGGGTATATTAATCAGAGCAGTTAACTTGCATGTAATTCCAAGAACAAATGTTAATGCAGAGGGGAAACACCAGCCTTGTGTTTCCCAGCTGTTAATAGGAATTTTGTTTGCATTGTTGTAGATATTATAGTGCATCACACTGGAAGAGTACAGTAGCAGAAGCCCCATGGAAAGCTCACAAGATCTCAATGAACAATCGGTGAGTATAAATTGTCTCTGTTTATCTCCATATGTGTATGTGGTGGTACCTTATGTGATAAATATGATATGACATTTAATATGATAAGATGGCAGTGTTATTTATCAGACTGAGATGGGAACTGCAAAATATAAATAGTCTGAATGTGTTTTTTTAATTGAGGCATAATTATGGCAACATTGACAGCTACTGTAAGTGCATTTTACAACTACTATAAAATACAAATATGATAAAAATCACAATTATTCATTCTCCACTTCATGAAATAAAATTATCCAGCATTAAAAAGGAGCAAAAAGCAGTCCTGTAGCTTATGTACAGAGGCTATGTATGCAGAGGTTATTATACATTCTGGACAATACATTTTCTGTGTTTAATAATATGTTGGATTCCTAGATTCTGGGTGTCATATTTAATAAAACACATATTTTTATTTAATAAAATAATTATTTGGATTTGTACATCTTGATATATTTTATATGTAGATTTAAGATACTGGGTTTATTCAAAGTGAATCACAAAATGAGACAAAAATTAAATCAAACTGGATGTTTTCCCATTTCCAGTATATACAATAGGAATGAAAACACATTGTGCTAAAATTTTAGACCCCACCTTTTTCTGTATGATTAATACAACCCATGCATTTGATGAGTTTGTGATGCTTTTAATCACTAGTGTAAAAAACAAAGCATTGCAAACTCACTGAGATCTAGAGGAAAACTGTAGAAAAAAGTATTAAGATTGGACCCCTGAACTGCACTGTGCTCATTGTTTTGGTCTGAAGGCCACCCAAGCTTCAAAGTGTTTGGTGAGCAAAGTCAGTATAGCAGTGGCCATAATAAGAAGCAGATGTGGTTTAAAAAGCTTCTGCACAGTAGCCGCATGGCAATTTCAGGACTAACAAGCTCTCTCCTGGAAACGTTAGTGAACCTTGTATATTTCAGTCATTTTGTGATGATTTTGTATCACGTTAAAGTTGCAAAGATTTTTTAAATTGGAATGCATAAAATCCATACATGTATAGATTGATCCGCACTGTGAGATGTGACATTGTCGCTACTTGTGATACATTTCCAGAGACAGAGAACAAGGGAAGACAAGGGAAGACAAAGAGTTCTGATTGACTGCTCATTTCAAATGCAGTAGATTTGTACTTTCCTGTTAATTGCTTAGCAGCAGTACAAGTTTCCATTTAAAAATATTGGGCTTTTAAATACATCAGCTATGACTACTGTATAATTATGAATACTGCAGTATAAAGGGGGGGGCATCTTAAAAATAAAAAAAGATTTAGGATATTTAAGAGCTTATAAATGCGAACCTTTCTGCCATTATAATGTGGTTGTTAATAAAGCCTATGATGCTTGTTTTGAAAAGAATAAATCAATGGCCTGAATATTTGTTAGTTTATAGACACCCCGCTATTATAGACCCATTTTTGTTTGTTTAAAGATCAGCCTCTATTGTTAAGAAAATAATTTGGCTGCTAGCTCACTAGTTTCGTATTTCAAAGACGTTCGTAAAGAACAGGTGTAATTTCATCCTAGAGCCCTGTTTTATATAACAGCAAAGATTTTTCGTCCTAGCTATGCCAACCCAGAAAGTAACAATGGTTTTAAGTAGGGCAAGGACTATTAAATATGTTGTTTTTAAAGTTACTAAGGTGTAATGGGATAGGAGTGCAAGCCGATTCTGGCCAGGCTTAATATTTTAATTCTTAGACTTGAACGTAAACATAGTAAGTCCTGTGGATGTGTTTTTGCACAGTGTTTATTTTTTCAGTTAGTTGTTAGATTTAAATTCCCACACATCTTTAATTAATGACATGATAAACACAGCGTGGTTAATTTTGTATACTGTACCAATAGGATATGGTTTAATTAACAGGCTATTTCTGTTTGTTCTATCTTAGTACCTTCTCAAAAGATAAGCAAATTAAGGAGCATGTTTCAGAAACATTTGCCTGCTGATTTATTTAATTTTTCTTACTTTGTAATGTTCTAAATGGGGGAATAAAATCCCTAAAAATCTACACACAACCCATTAGTTACAGTAAGGTTTTGCTGATAGTACAAGCTGTTTCACATGTTCATGTTCATTGGAATTGACTGCGTGTTTTTTTCCTGTTTTATGTCTTTCTATTTGTTTGCTTTTTTTTTTCTTATCTCTACATGGCTTGTCCCAGCACAGTATAATTTTTGTTACAGTATTTGGAAGGGGTGTAGCAGGTGGAAATGGCAGTCTGTTCCCATGGACTATTTTTACTTTTCATAGCGCATTTGAATTTCTCTTTTGTAAGGGATGTGTCTTATTGCAGTGCTCTGGATGCTCGAAGAAGCACAAAAGGTATCTTGCTGCTAACAGTACTGTATATTGAGCTCCAAAGAAAATAATTAGAAAAGTGAAAGTTTAAAAAAGGTAGAAAATAAGTCTGTCATTGGCAAATGTAACTTAGACAGTGGTTTGAAGATGAAAGACCACAGTCATTTAGAAGAATAAACATGTTTTTTCCAGGGCTGCATAGTAAAACATTTTACAATCCAGAAAACCTTAGAACAACCTTGTTGATAGTAATTTTATTTGGTTTTTGGCACATTTGGCTTGCACATGTTCTACCTGTGCTTACCATTTTGGAAATTTAGACCCACTCAGTATTTTCAGAAAATTGCACTTTTGAGTGAAATGATAAGGCACAGGCTTCTGTAGGCTGGAATGGTGCTGTTGTGTTGAGAACTACATGGTATAATGACAGAGAACTATATGATGGGAACTGCAGAATTCTGGTGATTTTTTCAGTAGGGTGCTTTTATGTTCCTTAATTTCAACCACAATTTCCAGCTTTAATTTAACTCTAACATATCGATTTTATCAAACAATGGGAAACATACAATAAATCCATAAAAACTAGAGTTAGGTTATTTAGAAGAATAATAAGAACAGATAAATGAATGTTCAGTAACACAAATACATGTTAATGGGCCCAAGCCCAGAACCTAAACCCAGTCTATTACAAGATGATTCTACTGAATCTTATTCAGTTTATTATGTTTGATTGGCAGTGCAATTCATTGTCCACCTGAATTGTGACCGGAGTATACTTTATGTAAAATATTCCAATTTCATTCATAGAAAATATTTTAAAAATATTGCATAAAACAAATCTTAAGATATTTCTGTGAAGTTCTGTTGGAAAAATACAGAGGTTTTAGGAGAATAGCTGTTTGGACATTCAGTTTTAAACTGAATAAAGTATAAAGTAAAATCAGTTAAAAACTAAAGGCAAGTAATTGTGTCGCACAATACTTTGTTTATTCAGTTTGAGGAGAAGACTGAGTTATTGCATGCACATTTCTTTCTCTGAAATAAGAATTCTAGTATAAGTACAGTAATATTTAATTTCCTCATTTATTTTTCTTTTTCATTATAATGAAAAAAGCTGCTTAGTGTGAACACATTAATCCGGGCACTTGACTTTCTCACACTTACTTTTTTTCAAACTCTAACTGTTCGTAGTAATTGCTTGTTTTGCAATGCATACCAGCTGTAGTGCAGCTGTAAATGGAATACCAGTTACTGGCTAGTGTAATTTGATCAAGAATTAAATATCCTCTGATTTGACTCATATTTTTTTCAGTTTCTCACCCATGAATTTCAACTGTACTCAAACCTCGACACTTACTATTCTAGGAATAAAAGCAAAAACACACCAGCTTTGCAGCCATTATTGTGAAATGAGTTCTGGCTTGTAATCTTTTTTTAATGTCTTCCCTTCTCGTTTTTATGTTAAAAGAATGGATAGTAATGACAAATGGTGACAAAAAAATGGATTCTGAAGTAAAACTACCCATTGAGGCTGACGGAACACTTGCACCGAGAATGCAATTCATAGGTCATAATACCGAGGATGCAAAACTCCATCTATCGATGATAGCCTTAATATTGCCTTAATATTCCCTGCTGGGACACATCGTGACATAAGTGTTAAAGATAATCATGGTCTGTCTTGTGAGAATGCATTCAGTAGAAGTACAAGGACAATATCTGAACAAAGGAGACATTTTTGAAAGTCTTGGGTTCCATCGTACTGTACCTGCCAGTCCCAGAGAGTCATCTTGGTCTCTCAGTGATCCAATCAGATGGGTTGGCATGACATGGAGCCCAGTCTGCCTGTAAGAAGAACCCTTCACTTCATTAGTCTATAATGAGACTGACAGCCACTATTGTAGGGCTTTTGTTTTTTTTATTCCAGTGACCTGTATTTACTTAATTATATTGATTTCCCTATAAATCTGAGCAGATTGTTAAGGCACTGGGTGAATCTTGCTTCAGGTATTAATAAAAGTAGTCCATTTGCTTTTTTAGATGCCTAGTCAAACGTCTGTTATATAAAGCTTCTTTCTTTCATATCTAATATACTGTAGGTGACACTATAACATTATTATAGTACAAATATATAGTATATAGTATATACTATATACTATATATAATGTATAATATAATATTATATAATATACTGTAATAGTATACAGTATAATACTATTACATATAATATTACATAAATAGTATATGTAATATATAGTATTGTAGTACAAATCAGCAATCAGATGAGTATGTTATCATTAAAGTATCAATAAACCTAGCAACTTCTAGCATAAACTCTTTGTTTCTGAACAGCATTTGTACCAGTTTTTCAAGCTTCAAATCTAGTCTTTCTAGATTTGCAATTTTTTTTTTTAAGTTACAAACACTACAAATATGTGATAATTCATATGTAGGCAGATAAGCATGACACACACCTTATCAATAATACAGCACATAGTAAATAAAATAGGTATAACATACTTAGCCCTAGAGTGCTTTAGTAAAAGTCTGTGAGCTGGAAGCACTAGAAGATGGAACAATTAGTATTTTTTGTGTTGATGGCCATAGTCTTACATAGCATATAATGTAAGGTGTATTTGAACTGAAACCATTTCAAACCATAGTCTCAGAGATAA